TAGTAGCCGATGCATTGAGCAGAAAGAGTACATCGGGGACGTTACTCACGTGTCTACGCTCACTAAGGGCACAAGTGGAGGTGTCCACAAGTGGGGTTCTCATTGCTAGATTTGAGGTTAGGCCTACATTGCTGAGTGAGATCAGTAGATGTCAGGCCACTGATGAAGAATGTCAGAAGATCCGTGAACAGATCCTTGAGGGACCTGTTGAGAACTTTCGGGTACGTGATGACGGTCTTTTATTGTTTAAAGGTCGTGTATGCATACCAAGGAACGAGGAACTCCAAAGGTCTATACTGGAGGAGGCTCATTCTTCGGCGTATGCCATGCATCCAGGAGGTACTAAAATGTACCGAGACCTGAAGGAAAGTTACTGGTGGTCGGGTATGAAGAGGGACATCGCAGAGTACGTGAGTCGGTGCCTTACTTGCCAACAAGTCAAGGCGGAACATCAGCACCCGGTAGGACTTTTACAACCACTTACCATTCCAGAATGGAAGTGGGAGAACGTGACCATGGACTTCGTGGTGGGACTACCACGAACAGTGAACAACTATGATGCAGTATGGTAGTGGTTGATAGGCTCACCAAGAGTGCACACTTTTTGCCTATCAACATTACTTATCCTCTTGAAAGATTGGCAAAGCTATACACGGAGGAGATTGTGAGACTGCATGGAGTTCCGATATCCATTGTCTCGGATAGGGACCCACGTTTCACATCCCGATTTTGGCCAAAATTTCAAGCATCTTTGGGTACGAAGCTAAAGTTTAGCACAACCTTTCACCCACAGACGGATGGGCAATCCGAGAGGGTGATACAGATTCTGGAAGATATGCTTAGGGCATGTGCTCTGGAGTTCCAAGGGAGTTGGGACAAGCATTTGGCTCTGGTTGAGTTTGCCTATAACAACAGTTATCAGGCGAGTATTGGCATGCCTCCATACGAGGCATTGTATGGGAGGAAATGTAGAACACCGTTGTGTTGGGACGAGGTTGGCGAAGCCAAGCTCGAGGGGATTGAACTTGTTGAAATCACCAAGGCTAAGGTGAAAGTCATTCAGGATAGACTCAAGGCTGCCCAAGATCGGCAAAAGAGTTATGCTGACAAACGACGCAGGCCATTGGAGTTTGAGGTCGGTGATAAGGTCTTTCTAAGGATTTCTCCTTGGAAAGGTATCATCAGGTTTATATCGAGGGGAAAACTTAACCCCCGATACATTGGCCCATTTGAAATCCTTGAAAGGATAGGGGCCGTGGCTTACCGTATCAAATTGACGCCAGAACTTGAGAAGATACACGACGTGTTTCATGTATCGATGCTCAAGAAATATGTTCGAGATCCGTCTCATATCCTTGAGAAACCACCGGTAGAGATACGTGAAGACCTACAATATGCGGTGGAACCGGTGAAAATTGTGGGTCAACAGGTAAAGAAACTAAGGAACAAGGAGATTCCTATGGTAAAGGTCCTTTGGAGGAGTGATCGAGTCGAAGAAGAAACCTGGGAGACTGAAGTCTCAATGAGGGAGCAGTACCCTTTCCTTTTCGATTAGACACGTGGATTTCGGGGACGAAATCCCAAATAAGGGGGGGTGAACTTGTAACACCGTCCCCAAATGTATTTATCTTTAAGATAATAATTTATTGGATCCTATGAAAATATTTAGTGAATTTACGAAGTTGTGAATTTGTATTAATTTTTTTTCGCGTGAATAGTAAAATGCATGTGGGGCCCACATCGGGAGTGGGGACCGCCCGATATTATCGGGGCCACATATTATATTGATCTTGGACTAGACAATATGTATATGGTGGTGGATATCCTAGTTGAGCCATGACAATGGCATAGGGTTGACCGGTTGGTCAAACGGGGCCAAATTATGAGTATCGGCAATCTATCAGATAACAGCCCGAAAAGGGATTTCGGAGACTTCTAAATTAAAGTTGAGGGATGCATATTGATTCTAAGGTCCATTAAGAATTGGGAACAAGTGTTATATTTTATTTGACCCGATAAAATAAAATATACTTAAAACAGTCCGAAAAATACAACTTTCGGGGCAAATTGCACACTTTGGGACAAATTGGGATGACCTCCCACATGGGTGGGGGCCACCCCACGAAATTGTCAACCCTTGAGGGCTGGATGAGTGCCAAATTGGCTGAACAACAATTGAGAGGATGGGGGAGACACCTTTGACATGTAGTAGGCCCCCTTCCTTCACTCATTGTCTAAAGGAGACAAGAAGGAACCACCCCTACCTCCTTACACTCATCATTTCGACCCAAATACACCAAGAAGGAGAGAAGAGCTCTGCAAACTTCATCTCCATAGCCCAAATCCGAACTCAAGCTAAAGGGAGTCCAAGAAGAAAGTTTAAGGAGGAAAAAGCTAGGAAAAAGTGTGAAAATTAAGGTAATGACCTTATCATAACTTTTCCTTTGTTTTTCTTCTAGCATATAAGGTATATATCATATAAAAGACCTTTAGTATTGTTCTACATGATTTAAGTGTGGAATGATGGGTTGGAAAGTGATTCTAAGTTCCAAAACGGACTTAGAAGCCAAATCGACCGGTTTACCGGAAAATAACCTTTTATAGGTTATTTGTGTTGATATGGGTTTTGTGATGATAAAACCTTGTTAGGAACTTGATTTAAAGTATTTTTGAGCTTCGCCGGAGTTTCGTCGGAGTTGGTCAAAGTTCGCCGGAGTTGGTCAAAGTTCGCCGGAGTTGGTCAAAGTTCGCCGGAGTTGGTCAAAGTCCAATCGAGAGACGTAGAACGCGCTTAAGCTTAATTAAGGTGAGGATGACCGACTATGATACTTATAATCTTTGGGTTAATTTCATGGGATTTCCTAAGTGAATATAAATGTGATGTGCATGAATTGTTGATGGTTAATAATGTATAAATAGAACTACTATTGATTAAAAGTATAGTATGCATGATACACAAATTTATGAATAAATTGTGTATGTTTAGATGTTATGAATATGTGTGTATGATGGTTGTACCAACCATGAACATCATTTGGGATAGTATACTTTGATGCCATGAGGAGAAGCCATGAAGGTATGAAAGTGATATTTGATATTAAGGCCAATTATGCAAGAAGAAGGAATTATATTGAAATAAATAAATAACTAGCATTGAAATATTAGTTGGAAATGTTAGTTGAGAAATGGATGAATTAGATCCTAAGAATTTGAATTATAAGGAATCGGTGATTATGAGCCGGGGTCAAGACCGATGTAGGCGACGGTGATTATGAGCTGGGCTCTAGACCGTAGTAGATGACGGTGATTATGAGCTGGGCTCTAGACCGTAGTAGATGACGGTGATTATGAGCTGGGCTCTAGACCGTAGTAGATGACGGTGATTATGAGCTGGGCTCTAGACCGTAGTAGATGACAGTGATTATGAGCTGGGCTCTAGACCGTAGTAGATAACGGTGATTATGAGCTGGGCTCTAGACCGTGACAAATAATGATGAATTGATATTAAATGAACGGATTAACTATAATGTAATAATGCCCTAGTTGAGGACCTCAGAGATTTAAACTTTGATTATACTTAGTATAGTTGTCATTGTACTTGTCAAATGCTTCCAAGTACTGACCTCCCCTTCACGGGAGAGGCCACCTCACAGTTTCAGGTAGAACTTGAAGGTTGCTACCACCAGCCGCTGCTTCGGGAAGTTTCCGAGGAGAAGACTTGGTTCGTGCTTCTCCCGTTCTTGTTTTGAAAAAAAAACAATATGAATAATGCTCATGGATAATATTTTCTGAATAATTACTTTGGGGGCTTGCATGCCAAATTATGCCAAGTGTGGCTTGAACACTTGTATCAATTGTTTCCGCTGCTTTAATAAATGTTTTACATTATGTTTGTTTATGAATGTACTATGTGTGAATGGTATTCAAGACGCCTTGTATAGTATGGATGAGTCGGACTGCGGTTGATTATTCGTACTGTACGGCGGGTTGTTGACGTGTCCGGGTAGGTCCGGGGCGTGACAGATACAATTAACATTCTAAAATTTCATTTGTGATATAAACAATTTTACTTTCGGTACAATCTAATTTTAATTGCATCCTTTTAAGTGCTTTGTATATTTTAAATTATGTACTTAACACCATAAAACTATATCTGTGGAAAAAATTTGATCATGATGTTAACATAACTTTTTATATAAAACTTGGAGTACATATATTATATGTGCAAATTTGGGATGCTTATCTCACACTTTTTTAAACTTTTTGAAAAATTTAAATTAATTTTCCCTTATTTCAACTAAAAATTGGTTATATCATTAGCAAGTTGGCATTAAAAGGTGCATAATAGTGGTGGTGAAACTATATTTCTTAATAAAAAGTTATTGAGTTTGGATATATGTTGTTGTTATATATTCTTTTTTTTCGACTTTTCTATCTCTTTTACACTTTCTAAATAAATAAAAAAGTGATGACACCCATCCTTGATGCCCCACAACCCCGACCGGACGATACGTTGGGAGAATGTAAATTGGATTATAATCCCAATCTGATAGATAGAGAGTGAGCTTCTGTTCCCGATACTTGCAGAAGCACTATGCATTTTTAGCATAGTAACATCTCATCGTCATCGCAGTTGACGGAATTCGAACCCGAGATCTAACTCTTGTGACACTCCCGACACGGGTTATAGTGTTACACTTTCTAAATAAAATGTTACACTACGTTTGTTTAGACTACACGTCCGGGTGGCGGGATTTGGAATGTTCTTGCAAGGCCGCGCGGAACAACGCCGTCACGTGCTGCATAATTTCCTCGTGAAATGGCCGGCTCATGTTCGCTTCTCTTCCCAACAATGACATGGCTCTCCCCGCATAATCTGATTTTCAGTCCCATACTCGGTCAACTCAATCCACTGCCTTTTGTCCCCCCTCCCTTTTTGCCTTTATTATTGATATAAAAAAGAACATGACCAAAACCATTAATGGAGAGCAAGACTCCATTTTTAGCCGGAGGAAGAGAGAAAAGAAAGTGCCAGAGTGGAGTGAAGGAAGGAACGGCGGCGGGTTTCTTATATATGCAGTATATGAGTGGAAATGGAGGTGGTGGTTCCCCCGGTGGAGGAGCTCTGACGGTGGTCGGAGTGAAAATGGATTCCCGGAGCAAAGAGTTGTTGACATGGGCTCTGGTTAAAATTGCTCAGCCGGGAGATTGCGTCATTGCTCTTCACGTTCTCAATCCCAAAATAGGTAGACTGTATGTATATATCTATATGCTCCTATATGTACGCAATTCAATATGTTTTTCCATTTATCTTTTGTATATGTTCATCAAATCTTTGTTTTTTCAATTCAGAAGATGATGAATCAGAGCTGCTGTCATTGGTGAAGACGTTTGATTCAGTGCTGGCCGCTTTCGAAGGCTTCTGCAACTTGAAGCAGGTGCCTTTCTTGTTGTTTAGCATAATAAAACACTTTCTTGGATTTAGCTATGTCTGGACCCTGGAGAATGCTGGGGAGAAGAAAAAATACCAAGAACAATTGTGTTCTAATGTTGATTTTTTTGTTCATAGCAAACAATCTTATATTGGTTTTAAATCTTTGCAATTGTTACTTTTTTAAATACTAAAGATATGTATAAGGAAATGAAATATGTTTACTTTAAATAAACAAATTGTTTACATTTCATAGGATTTTTGTAAAGGAACTCGCACTTGAATAAAGATATACATAAATAACATAAAATTTATTGAGTGTGAAGAAATGTGTCAAAGGTGTCCTTCACATTTTCTTTTCTTCTGTTATTCTTCTATGATTCCCTCCCTATTGACTTTTCCTACTACTTTGCAAGCTTCAATTTCAATTGCCGTAATGGTTTAAAGTTTTCTGGGCAATGACAGAGCCACTCTTGTTCAAGAGTCTTCATGTAAACAACCATTTCTTAAGTGCAAAAATACATTTGTAGAATTGGTATAATAGTTTATTGTACTTTATTTATATAGTAATTCTTATGTTTAGCTCTACTTACTAGTTTTTTTGGTAGAAAAATCATCAATGTGTAGAGTTTTTACTTCAAACACTCAAAATTAGGTTCTAATTTAAAAAGGAATTTTATCAATTCAGGACTTGAAAGATAGATTAATTATTAATTCAGGACCCGAAAGATGAAAAATATCGGTATAGGACCTGAATGATGGAAAACTATCAATTTAGGACCTAATGTTCCATAGGTTTTGATTTATTTAATTTTTTATTAATTCCATTACTAATTTTTGATAAACTTTTCTTCACAAAAGTTTATTAGTTTAATAAAACTAAATAGTATTTGAAAATTTTAAAATAAAAAATAAAATAAAATTTATGACAACTTAGGTCCTAAAGTAATAGTTTTCAATCATTCAGGTCTTAAATTGACAGTTTTTCATCATTCGGATCCTATATGGATGCATTTCATCTTTCGGGTCCCGGATTGATAATTCATCTATCTTTCGGGTCCTGAATTGATAAAATTCCAAGTTAAAAACTTTCCTTATCAAAGAACATTTTTCAGAAGCTGTAAATGATATCATCGGCCAATATGTCAAGGAGAATTTGATTCTAATTATCCAATTTTCCTGATATATGTATACTGGTCTTCCCTTTTACTTTTTTTTATAGCAATCCAACATTTGTTTGCTCTTTTCTCATAGCCGTCTGCATATTTCGTAAACTATGTTCTCTTTAAAAATCTGCTGTGTAAAGAAGTTAGGAAAGGTTGTATTATAATTATAATTAAGAAAGTGAAAGAGAGACTGTTTATTAATTAAAATTATCTCCTTGTTATTAAGATAAACTTCTTTTATAGGTTGGTTTGAAGTTAAAGGTATGTAGAGGATCGCCTAACCGTGTAGTCCTAGCCCATGAAGCAAAAAATTTACGGGCTAGAAATTTGGTAGTCGGCACTTCATACACCTACCATACTGTCCTCTCGTCGGTTTCAGTTGCAAAGTATTGTGCCCGGAATGTTGGAAAGGCCATCACAGTCACTGCTGTTAATGACGGAAAAATCGTCTTCCAAAGGACACCACCACCACTTGCTTCGGTTGGCCAAACAGGTCATTTTAATGTGCCCCAGAAGAGTTTTAATAATCTAGCTGTGGTCACTGTCAAGTGTATGGATCTGCATGACTCAAAGAGAGGATGGTCATTGCTAAGAAGATTGCATCTTCAAAGCCAGAAGATAATTAGTCCAACCAATCTACAAAGCGGGCACTCTTTTGCAACTATTTACCCTGATCACAAACATGATATTTGTGAGGAAAAAGGAGATGGTGTAAATGTATACACTTCAAGTGGAAGTAATTCTCCTAAACTTCCTAGGGAACTAGAGTGTATTTCCAAGAAGTATACATCCATCTGTAGATTCTTTAGCTACCAGGAACTTTTGACAGCAACAACTAATTTCACACCAGGTTTGTCGATAGTATTCTCACATATTGCACATTGCTGAAAAAAATTACAGCTAAATATGAATGTGAAAGTCTATTAAGGTTTGAGATCCATCTTAAGGTTGTCGTAATAATATGTAGTCAAAGACTTTATATGTGAATTTGTATCTTTGTATTTGGTATCTGATTATTCTTGAAAGGGTGTCTTGGTACTCTCACCGCTAATCTCTAGAGAACTCTTAGGGATAGAGTTATTATTCTTAACACAAATTTATGCAGTGTTTGGATTGACCTTTATCTCACAATTACTTTTTCAGAGAATTTGATCGGAAAAGGTGGGAGCAGTATGGTTTACAGAGGACACCTTCCTGATGGACAGCAAGTAGCTGTTAAGTTACTGAAACAGTCAAAAACAATGGTGGCTCAATTTTGTTCAGAAGCAGAGATTCTTACAACTTTGCACCACAAAAACATAATATCACTTTTAGGGTTTTGCATCCGAGAAGGCAGCCTTTTGCTGGTTTATAATTTCTTGTCTAGAGGAAGCCTTGAAGACAATCTCCATGGTATTCAAGGATTTGTTGTTAGTGTGGTCATGTGGATGAAGAGCAAAACTTCAGTGTTTGTTCATCTAGAGCACCACATGCTCACTAGTCTAACTACTAGAGCACTATCATGTGTGCATTCCCCACACCTGTGCCCCTGGTGGTTTGTGCTCTTCGAAGTTGGAACACTGAAGTGATCTCTTTGATGTTCTTGAGATTAGCATTTCTCATAGTCTAATAGCTATGTTATATTTTACTAGGTACACAAAATGTTGGGAGTACATTTGACTGGAAGGGCAGGTACAGCGTTGCTTTAGGTATTGCAGAGGCATTGGATTACTTGCACAAATTACCCGAAAAACCTGCCATTCATAGGGACGTTAAATCTTCAAACATTCTTCTTTCTGATGACTTCAAACCACAGGTACATATTTAGATTTGCTTCAAAGGGTGACCTTTATCTAATTAAAGATAAAGACCATAGCAACAAGATAGTATTAAGGAACGTGTCGGTTTTACAGCTCTCTGATTTCGGGCTCACAACATTAGCTTCTTCAAATTCAACATCATGTTACTTAGATGGCATCGACGTTGCTGGAACATTTGGGTAAGTTAATTTAGCATATCATTCCTCTTGAGTTTCAAATCATTATCTGTTCAGCTAACTGCATTTTCTTTCTTGCAGCTACTTGGCTCCAGAGTATTTTACACATGGAAAAATAAGTGAAAAAATTGATGTCTATGCATTTGGTATCGTGCTGCTTGAGCTTTTATCTGGTAGAAAGCCAATTGATAATAGGAATACTAAGGGGCAGACAAGCTTGGTATTGTGGGTAGGTTTTATCTTACTGATTTGAGCTTTGATTTTTTCTTAAAATTTGTTATTTGCCTCATTTTAAATTGATCAATAGCACCGGCAACCATCATCCCAGGATACAGGCCTCAAATGCTTTAAAAAGAGTTACACCCTCCTACATAAGTGGGGCTTAAGGAGTCTATGGAATCAATTGTATAAGCTTCTTTGTAGATACCAGTACATGAGAGTTTATATAGGACCCTGCGTTCACAATATGATCAGAAAAGAGAATAGAAAAAAGAGTTTTTTCACAATATGAGAGTTTATAAAGGACCCTCCTACAGTGCCGCAGAGGCTCCCACCTACGGTGGGGTAAGGGGGTAGGATGTACGCAGTCTTACCCCTGTACTAAAGCACAGAGACGGTTTCCGAATGACCCATAGTGAAAATTGCGTCCAAAATTGCACGGACTGACTGCTGCTTCATAACAAAGAAGCGCAGATAGTTTAATGAGTCATTTTGCTTTATTCCATCATTTTGAATTATTTTGTTTACATTTGTTATATGCAATTTTTTGTAACATGACAATATTTGCGTTCTTACAATTGCGGAGGCCCCGTTTGTTTCCATGACAATATTTTGTTGGAAAACACTGTCCAGTAAAGATTTTTCTGTGAGTTGCATCGGGAAGTATTTTCTTTTATTCAAATCTTGTGGAAAACGACTTCCCGTTTGCAGGAAAACATTTCCTAGCAAAGTGAAATTGTTTTCCTACAAAGAAATGAAGGCTAAATATGTAATATTGCTAACAGATTCCCTTATCTTTCATGATCATTATACTTTTGATTGCTGATGTGCAGGCAGAAGAAATACTGAGGGAAGGAAAAGCTACATCATTGCTTGATGTAAGCTTGGTTGAGACATATGACCCTGATCAGTTCGAGAGAATTATTCTGGCAGCACAACTGTGTATCAAACGTGATCCAATACTTCGTCCCGCAATGAACCTTGTAAGCAATTTGGTCCCATGTGTGTGTAACTGTGTATCTTACTTGCATTAAATGAACAAACTAGTTTTTAAACAGGTGGTTAAGCTTCTCCAAGGCGAACCAGATGCCATCAATTTGGGAAGGCAACATGTAAATGGCTTAGAGGAATCAAATGGTGTAAAACATGGAACCAACAACATCCAATCCCTGATTAATATTGCTCTACTGAATTCAGGAGACGATAATGTTCATAACATCTCCGTAGAGTCTTACTTGCAAGGAAGGTTGAGCTGTTGTTCCTCAAGCTTTGGTTAGATATTAAAAACATTATGGTTTCTCCTCAACATATTTTTCCCTTAGATGGATCCAGCATTATTCTTTTGTATGTAAAATATCATTCTTATGTACTTTCCTGAAGATGAGACGAATCAATTCAAAGCTATTGATGAATAACTCGTGAATGTGTGTTAGCCATTGGGAAAACCAACTGTTAACCAGCATAGAGGAAGACTTTTTTTATCAAGATCTTTAAACAAAAATTAGAAGTAAAAAATACAAAATACATTCATAAGGACTACACTATACATTAATTACCCTTTTGAACTTCCCAGATAAGTCATCCAGGTCAATGACTTCTTCACACTCTTCCCCTTCGTTTTGAATCTGGTAAAGTTCTGAATGCAGCTCAGCTATTTGCTTTCGCAGTTTCTCTCCTTTATCTGGCAACTTCACTCCCTGCATTATAATATTTTAAATGCAAAGTTGAACTATTTTTTATCTGAACTAATGCTTCTGTAGACAAAAGGAACATAAACAAGTTTGAACACCTTTTCTGAAAGAACATGAGAAAGTCTTTTGATTCGATCTCTAATTTCAGCCTCAGTTTGACGTGGTACAGAACTAGACGCTTTCATTGGCCTGTTGAAATTCTTCACATCCTTTGGTTTGAACGCGAACTGTGCCCCTCTGGAATACATAGCATTTTTACAACACTAGACATAAATACATAATATTTCCAAAACAGTATGGTAAACTGCCTAAAACCGGTCAAAAACTTACTCATTGATAATAGGTTCCACTGATGAGCGTGAGGAGACCTTTCCAGCATATATGGGCCCTCTTACACTGTACCCCAGGAACAGAAGCTGTATTTAATGTCATGTGTTCATATATAGAGAGGCATATATGCAACCCACTTACACATTCAAACAGGACACATGTCGAGAAAGCGGGCATCATCCATGACGATTCATAATGTGTTGTTTGGTTGGAGGACTTTGGAGTTTGGAGAAGGGGAGAAAAGTGGATGACTGGTGTCTATTTGGTGTGGGGAATTGGTGAGGAGGGAGAAACTGGAGGAACTTTTTTAAGAACCTCTCTACATTATTATTACTATACATATTTACATATAACAACAAAGTATTACCAAATATAATATTTTTATGCAACTTTCTAAACATAACATAACCTCTTCCTTTTTACTTTTCAATTTTTCTCACACATTTCTCCTTCATCCCACTCCCCCTCATTTGAACCAAACTACCGGCTAAAAGAAATGACACCATGTATGTTAACTTAAATGTGAAGGAAATAATAGTAAAGCTGATATAACCTAGTGGTGACTGACTAATGACCAATGGACAAACAACTTCAAAGCTTAATGGTGAGATAGTTGTGTTAGTAGCGGGGTAAAAACTGTCAAGATAGGTTCTCAACAGGCTTCACATGTCCTTCTTAAATATGCAAATAAATTTTGCGCCTTAAAGTTGCTCACCTGCCGCTGAGATCCTCATCATCCTGATCTACTGGTTCAGGGGCTGTTTTTGAAAACAGAAGACTGTGTTGACTCACTCCCCCTATATCCATAGCACCCAGAAACTCCATTTCAGCTTTTAGGGACCCTTTCCTGCAAAACAATGACTATAATTAAACACATAACAACGAGTGTTAATATCAATGTAGCCATGCAGGAAGTTTTAATAAATGAAGGGATGGACTACATTTCATGGTGGTGATCGTGCTCTTCATGCAACTGTTGTTGAGTCAAAGAGACGTCAAACCCCTGTTTCGGGATGCTAAAAAGCTCTTGTAGATCCTGGACTTTGTAAAGGTACATGTTAGATTTCATATATGAATATGCAGATTATATGAACTCAAGAGTTATGCATACCCCTCTACTAAAGTAGCGTATTTGTTCTTTGTGCTCTGTTGCAGTTTTAAACAAACCCCCCTTGAATACCTATTCCAGAATTCAATATATGAAATTAGACAACTGAGTGTATTGCAGAAACTTCAGCCAACCACTTGTGAAGAAAAATTATATTCTCATTTCCTAGATAAAACGTATAATGCTGCATTTTTGTCATAAGTACAAGTATCCAACAGCTACAAGATTTATTTGTAAATGAAAATAAATGCATGTGGACCTGCTTTCTATAGATCTTCTCCTCAACTGTCCCACAGGTCATCAATCTATACACAACTACATCCTTCTTTTGCCCAATACGATAAGCTCGGTCAACACTCTGATTGTCGGTACTGTAAAAATGCAAAATAAAATAAACAGTTGAGGTGATTAGCGCAGAACACTAAAAAACTGGTCTGCAGGCACAAAGCCACAAACAATATATATGCCAACCATACATGCACATGCATTTATACATACATGATACATGACATAACTACAGACGGTTTTTGTTTAGTGCTCATAGATCATTTTTATTTTTGTGTAATGTTACCTTATATGAGAGATCTTGGTGCTTTTTTTATTTCACATGAAAATGAAAAAGGTAGTCTACGCTTTAGTTATAAAGAAACCATAATAGGAATGTAGTCGAGCATATACCTCGGATTCCATGCAGGGTCAACTACAATCACGCGATCAGCTTTAGTCAGTGTAAGCCCCAAACCACCAACTTGAGAAGTTAAAAGGAAGATAGGAGCACCATCTCCCTCTTGAAAGTTCTATGATGAATAAGGCAATTAATTAATATTGAGACTCTTGGTGTAAATTGGTAAAAACATAAGATAAGCTCCAGTCAGAATGCATACATTAACTATTTTCAATCTGTCAGCAGCTTTAGTAGTCCCATCAATACGCAAGAATTTCAGATCAACAGAGATTAAAGAGGCCTAAGATAATAATTGGATAATTGACATTTAATAATTATGTCATATGTCTAACAAAAAAAAGTACTACTAAACTTCAATTATAGAAGGGAAAAGTAGTAGTTACCTGAATCTGATCAAGCATCTTCCGTGTTTGTGAGAAAATGAGAACACGGTGTCCATTTGGAATCAAAAATTCCTAGAACCAAGAATTATTGGCATTAGCAATATGCAATCATGATGTAGGTATTGTAATCTTGTTATCTTGATGACTTGGTGTTGATGGAAACTAACCAGCAACTGCATAATGAAATTAATCTTGCAAGAAATATTGTGACTATCCTCAAAGTCTAATTTTTCAGCTGCTTTTGCCATTTGCATTGCCAATCTTTCAGCCATAGCTTGATCCTCTTGGCTTGGCAATGAGATCGATTCCATCCCTTCTAAAACTTCTTCAGCAGCTCTTTTGGTCAATAAAAGAGGATGGTCACAGATTTTTTTTAAGATCTGTTTAAAGAAAATTGCATTTCTGATCAGATTTCATATTTTTTAAAGGTAGAACGAAGAAATAGTAGCATGAATTTCTTATTAAAATGAGTTCAATAAGGATGTTTTTACTTGGACTGTTTTCAGTCCCAGACCAGACTTAAACAGACTAGACCAAACCAGACTTGACTTCCGTAGTTGTAAAGTACACAGAGACCAGACGTTTACAAGACCAGACCAGTTCAGGCCAAACCAGACCAGCAAATTACTGTCCAAGTAAAATCATCCTAAAACTTCTTTCTCACCAATAAAATATGTTCGAAGAAAAGGAACACTAAAAATGGAAGAATGTATGAAATTTGGAAGTTAAAAAATAACATTAAGCAATATGGAGCATTATTCAGCAATGAAAATCAAACCTCCTAAGAACAAGGTTTTATTTTCTATTTATTACATATATTTGAACATATACATTAATGTGTGTTACACATTGATCAGAATCAATTAAATCAAATAATCATTCTAATATTCATTAGGATAGAGATGGATACTATAATCATATTGTACTCAAAACAATATTGTGCTTCATTGTGCTAATATTGTGAAACTATGAAAGGGGATCATAGTGCTCTATGTAGAATGCAACAACAATATATTTCATTTGGAGCATTACCGTTAATGCTGCCAATGGCGAGCTATCACATGCTGAAAGCACTATCTCACTTTTTAGAAAAGCAACGTATAGTTGACGCTGGACAAAAGAATGGAGCATAAGGGTAAGAGTAATTTCAAGAAACAAAACAATGAAGTGAAAAAGCATTAAATAGCGAATGATAGAATGATCAAAAAACAGGGTTCTAGAGCAAATACGTACCTGGCAACTAGTTAATTTTAGCCACACACACATCTCGCTTTTCTTTGAAAGCTTTACACCAGTTGAGGTATCATCTGTAAATACGTCACTTTTAAGACGCCGCAAAAAGTAAGGTTGTATACACTCTCGTAACTCCTGTCAAAACAAAAGAACAACAATTTAGGACAAGATAGGAGTAGACCTTGTGGTGGCTACAAAGTCAACCAAATCTAGAGCGAACACTACTTATTTATGCTTTAAACCCAAATTAGTTGAACTGTCATGCATAAGTAAGGACACAGACTATATTAGAGCGTATGGTCATACAAACACCTACATCCCTGAGCGAGTAAGCATGTATATGTAATAGTATACTGATGCCTACACTCATAAGAAAAGAGTATAAATATTCAAATTTCAGAACCATCATAAAAGGTAGCAAACAACATGAGATTTCTACCTTTCCTATACTGTTATGAAAGAGTAAAATATATTGAACATGAAGTGTATAAAATAGAGATTGAAAATATTAATGAATAACAAATTGATGTATGAATTGCATCTTTCATTAAAAAACGAAGTGTGCACGCACAGGCGTCAACAAAGAGAAAATACAATGTGTGCTAGACTAATTACCTTTGCCACTTGTGAACTGATACGCTTTTCCCTGTCTGATGCATTCTTTTCATTTCCACGAAGAATAAAATGCTCATATTTTTCTTTGAACCTGATGTTATATACAAAATGGGTTCATGTTAATGAAGTTAATATCTTAGCAAACTTTAGATTTGTATAAATAAGTACCACTTCTTATCACCAAGCAACCCAGGACAGCAGAAGTTGAATAGAGCCCAGAGTTCCTACAACAAAAAAGATGAGAAAACTTTTAAAAACTGCAGCAGTTTATTATTTACAACACTTGGTTTTAAAAAGACAAAAGAGAACCAAAATCACATAGCTTAAAAGAAATAGTAAGGGCAGCCACAGAGAAACCTTTAGATTGTTTTGAAGTGGCGTCCCACTAATAATGATACGGTGAGCAGAAGGTATCTCATGTAAGCTTTTTGCTCTCTGTGTGCTGGGATTTTTTATCAAATGCCCCTACACCAACCCAAGGAAAAAAAGATATACAACATATTAGAAAACAAATAAGATGTAAGTTGATTGAAGTGCCTAGCTAGTCCTGTACACTAAGAGGCATTATTGAGTAAAAAATATACTTATGCAGATATTGCACAACATGCAAAGAATGCAGCCTTATCAATCAAACAAACACAGAAGTAATAATAGTGTGTTGCTATTTTATGAAAAAAAAATATCACACCTATGACCTATCAAGATATTCACAGTTGGATTTTAAAATAACGAACAAATGATAGCAATTACCTCATCAAGAATCATATAATCCCATATAACGTCTTCCTCACTTCGATCACCACAGTGATAATAATCTCCGGACAAAGATTTAACATTGTTTCTTACAATGTCATAAGTTGTGAGAAGCACACCTTTATCCTGCAAAAGTAAATACAAATTGTTGAACTCACGTCAAGTGCAGTAATTAAGCTTATGCCGATGATGTCAAATTGAACCAAGGATTCAGATCATTTGCCAGTGAGTGAACCAAATTAGTAGCGGAGAAATGGGAAAATTAAGCCTAGAATATCATTGATCAAGTGTTGTTTGAGTATATACAAAGTTAGCATTATGTCTAACGTCAAAAATAAGAAACAGTCAATAGGAAACACTGAAACAGCTAATGGCAGAATGAAGATGAGTACATGACATAAGCTAGTTGCACTAAATAATAAATACTGTGTTGTAAGTGATGGAACCAAGTACCTCTAGTATATAACGGAGTTCATAGTCCCGAGCCTTAATGCTAGTCCCATAATATCTACAGAAAAACAAGTTAAATCACTTCTCATTTTAATGGACTATATATATGGAGTAATAGATAATAAAAGGAAAAAAGCCAAGGAGTATGGACCAGAAAATCTTACTCTCTAATTTTCCCTGATAGCCCTACAACAGTTAATTCCTTGATCCAATGGGGCATTAACGTTTTTGGAGCAACCACCATTACCCTCTTAATCATATTTGAATGAAACAGCCCGGCTAGAAAGCCACATATCTGAAACAAGACACAACTAAAAAATAATATATGTTTAAATACCATTATATCAAAAGCAGATACAGGTATTAGGATCTTTACCTGCATTGTCTTGCCCAGACCCATATCATCACCCAAAATGCCCCCCTTCCCTTTGGAGTGGATAGACCAAAGCCACTTCAAACCATCTCGCTGATGAGGATATAACATATTTGCAACTTCTGCAGGTAGCATAAACTTTAGACCATCCGAAGTGAATAGATTCTCTTCCTCGGAGACAAAACTATTTCCACATCGACCATCAACCTCAGCACCGTGACAATGCTTATGTGCAGAATACTTGTTTGGTCTTCCAAATTTTTTAAAATCTTTTTTTTCACTCACAACTACACAGTCATCATCTGTGTCATCTAGCACATGATAGGAAGGGTGACTTTTCCCCACATATTTCGATTTTCCTGCCACTGTTTTAGCTTCATTTTTCTTCTTCATTTCTTCATCTGATGAGACAGAAAATGAAGAATCAGCACTTTCGTATTCAGGAAATTCGTCCACGTTTTCAGGTCCATCAATCTTCTTTTGGACCTTTGTCCTATCAATTGAAAGAATATCAAGTCTTGAACTTAAATCGTTCAGGATATCCCTTATTTCATTTTCACCACCAGAATATTCACTCGCAGCTGCATTTCTCACTGGGGTCGAAGAATCAAATTCTGGAGTCTCCAAACCATTTGTCCCTTCATCAAAACCAGGATCGTTTTCATTTATGTTGATGTCATGCACAATTTTACACAGGCGACGTCGACCTTTGATCCTCCTCTTCCCATCCTTTTCTTTCGGTTCTGCAATATAATGCACCCATTTAGGCTCAACATTGCACAACGCCACAAAGTCAAACATCAATACATTGTATGTTGTGGGTGCACATATCACATATTCTGAAAAGAAACGTCTCTAGCTAAAAATGACGATGTTTCTAGGTTTGGAACATTGTCATTTAAATCTTATTCTTCTCTTCAAAAATGTCGAACATAAATTAACATACAAAGCAAAATAAAATCTTACCTGGAAGAGAGGAAGCATTCGGAGAATCAAAATTGATTTCGGAGTTAAGAACATTGTCATTTTCTTCTTGGAGATTTTCCTCTGCAGTGGTGGAATTTTCCTCTTCAAAAATCAACAGAGTATTCAATTTAATATATGTGCACCCAGCAACGTACAATGTATTTATGCAAAGTTGCAAACAGATACAAAAGACAGAGTCATGACATGAATCATACCAAGAGGCGGAGGAGGAGGAATAGGGGAATCAAAACCAATGCCAAAGTTAGGAACATCATCTTCTTTTTCTTGGACTTTGTTACCAGCAGTACTTGCATGTTCCTCTTCACAAAATCAAATCATTCGTTCAATATATGTCCACCCCAAAACATCTAATCTAATGTAGTAATGTACCCAGAGACAGAAAAAGACAGAGTGATTACATGTATTGACATACACAATGAAAGGAAATCATACCAAGAGGTGGAGAAATGGTAGGAGAAACAAAATCAGTTCCGAAGTTAGGAACATCTTCATTTTTATCTTGGAGCTTTTTCTCGGACTTCATTGCATTTTCCTCTTCAAGAGCAAGCCAGGCATTCAATATATGTGCACCCCAAAAGGTTAAATGTAATTGATCAAAGCTTTGTAAAATGAAGCCATACCAGTAGAAGGAGAAGGAGATAGAGAATCGAAACCAATTCCAAAACTGGGAACGGCGTCTTGTTGCTTCTCATTTCCCATATCTGCATTGGCTCCGAAATTAACTCTCCCCTCTTTGAAAGCAAATCCAAAAAGTGAATAATATGTACGCATATGGGCCAAAAAGTGTATCAAATTATAGTGAGAAATCCATTTTGAACAAGCAAACAACGCTCTTCAATCTATCAATAGTTGTCAAATGCATTTATACAATTCCTAGTTTAGGCCGATGATACTTACCATGAAAGCAAGAAGACGGAGGAGCTTTGGAATGAGATGCGGAGAGGTCTAATAGGACGCGGGTGTGACGCTGGTTGAGGCTTAGGTGTTGCTTCTTCTTGCTCTGATCAGCCATTTCCTCTTTGGTATGCGGTAGTGAGCTTTTCTGCAACTCCTTGACTGCAGATACTAAACCGGATTGATTGGTGTTTGAAGTTGGCTTTTCAATTCCGGTTCCAAACTTTTGGTTTGAATTTCAAATTATGTGGTTGCCCGTTAGGGATTAGGCTGGAGTACTATTCTATACGTAATGCTCCGTATATTGTTAGCACGGGTTAGCTTAATATACCTATTAATTAATGTGCCTGTCTAAGCTCTTCGGCTTCCCATTGTGTTTGGAAGTGATTCTGCTTTTACTTCTTTTATATATAAAAGAGTAGAATCGAAATCAGTTTTTCAGAAGTTGTTCTCCCACAGCTTCTAAAAAACTGCTTCTACAAGTAATTTGGTGCTCCTAGAAGTATTTTTACACTTTCACTCAAACACTTAAATATATGTTTCTACTCCCTGAAAGAGTAGAAGCAGTTTTAAGAATCAGACCAAAACATCTCCCAACTCTTACATCTTGCCTTTACCCGTGGGGTAAGGGTATGGATAGGGGGTCAGAAGTAAGGGGTAGGAGTGGGTGTCGGCACTGTTTGGGTAGGGGGTTAGGGGGTTAAGGTTAGGGTTAGGGGTAGACCCCCACGTATTATATATACTTGTGTATATATAAATGTTTGTGTGTCTATATATGTATACAATTATTTTGGACATTTCAATATTGAACGGAGTTTTAAATCATGTGAAGTAAACATAAGCTTATAATAATACTGCTTATTTTACGCGTCGCTTATTAACACAAGTCTTAATAAACACGGTTTAATAATATGTGAAGTAAACATGTCCTAAATGTTACATTGTTACCCCATAGTTATTGTCAAACCTAAAAAATATTGTTATGTTAATGATTCGTAGTGTCAAACCACGGTAGTAACTTCTCTTATTTGGAAGATAAAAATACAAAAATTCTATTTCAAAATTTACAAATGTTTTATTTTAAGAAAAAGGATAAATAGCACATTGAGCTTATTATTAGCTCATTAGGCCAAAGTTTCAAGTTGATCAACTAATATCATTTGTTTTCTTCAAGAAATAAACAATATCGTTTTCGGTCTATACAAATAGTTAGTTTTTTCATTTCAAAACTAACTTAGTTTCGTATTTAATTTTAGAATGTATTATTAGATGTTTCAATTAAGAATGACATGTTAAACAACTAGGCAAAAAAACAAAAAAAAACAACTAGGCATAATAATAAAATGAGAGGTTTGAAGACATCATATGGATCGTGGATCACAAACTGAGACAGACTAAAGGAGACGATTTTGGGTCATTATTCATCTTTTTTTACTCCTTTAGGGGGTCAAAGAGCGCACAAACCTGAATGAACTAAAATCAATTTTGGAGGATCAAAATGCATCTTTTTAAGGCCAATCGGGTCGGAAGAGGTAAATAAAACTCGCGTTATTTGACATGCATCTGAATAAACTCCCGGTCCGGATGGTATCGGTATGTATCTAGATTTTTTTCAACCACTTTGGGACATTGTTGGTGCTGATGTTGTTCATATGCGAACTACTGTGTTTGAATTTGGTCATATTCTGAAGGACTTAAATGTAACTAGTATTGTGTTACTCCCGAAGAAAGTGAAAGCGGAAAAAAACTGGGGGATTGAAGGCATATTGATTTACGCAATGTGGTGTTTAAATTTTTTCCTAAGGTTCTGACAAACCGCATGAAGAACCTAGCGCGTAATTTAATTAGAGAAAACCAAATTAAAGTGCATTCATCCCTGAAAGAACCTACTATGTTTGAAACACAACACAATGTTAAACAGAGGAGTCAAGGCAAAGAGGGTTTCATGGTTTTAAAACTTGATATGAGTAAAGCTTATGATCGAGTTAAATGACTTTTTATGAGTCTGGTTATGGCAAAAATGGGTTTCGCTACTCAGTGGATTCATCTTATAATGGAGTGGCTCCAAAGGTATCTAATTTATTTTAGCTCTTGAAGGTTTGAGTGCCCTTTTTCATAGGGCGGAACGCAGATCGAGGAGCTCTTCATCGTGTAGCAAATGTCGAGGGGCTCCAAATGTATCTATTTTTTTTTGCAAATGATAGCTTTGATAGACCCTGTTCTTTAACAATCAAACAATCATAGCAGATAAATAAGAAGCAGATAGAAAGATATGAAGATGAAAACCAAATCTGGTATACCGTGAACTGGGCGTTGCTCTCCTCGAGAAGGAGAGCAGTGGCAAACCCTACTCTCTATCTCGCCTCTATGCTCTCAAGCCTCGAATCTTTGGGGTTTCCATAAGTTAGACTCCTTTTATAGGAGAAGTTGGCTAACTTATGGATTACAAAGAAGCCAATGGGCTGATATCATTTGTGGCCCATATTACACATTTAACTAATAACTACACAAATACAAAGATATTTAATTAGATTGGACACCATAAAATATTCCTAACAATCTCCCCCTTGGTGTTCAATCGTGTTGAATCAGTATTGCAGCGCAGATATCTTTGTCTTTGTTGTTATTTAGCTTCCTTTTTCTTTGAACTTGACTTCTTGAGACGGCTTTCTGAAGAAATCCTTGCAATCTCCCCTTTGATGTCTTCTTAGCAATTTGATCTTTGATGCTGGGGTTGAGGAATCTTCCTTTGGCTTGCTTGTAAACCTTATCTTCAAAAGTAGCTCTTGATCAGCTTGAATGAAGTACGGTGGCGCCTCTAGAATGAAAGTTCTTGAAGAATTGCAGACGCACATGGAAATCATCTTCAGAATTCGAGTAAGTGACCTTTGTCTCCTCCACAATGTAGTCTTTTTGACTATTCGAAGTGAATGCGTTTGAGGAGACCTTGTCGGTGGCACAACGAAAAAAGATGGTTGACTTGTGTGAGTGTAGCTGACCATTTGAGGTGTAGAGATAGAAGAGAGTCGTTGAAATTTTTGTGTTGGAGGAGAAGTATCCGAGAATGATTTGTCAATAGTTAACAGCTTGTGGACCACTCTCCCTCTCATGACGATCCGATAAATCGGAGCGTCATGCCTTTATTCTTTTATTCTAGGATGTAAAACAGAAAAACAAACAAAAGGTTAAAAAGACAAAACCGGATACACCGAGGTGTTCCGTTAACACATCATCAATGTAAACACTGATGTGTGGCCTGTATAAAATGATAGAAACATTAAAGCTCTAACAGGACTTCCAACCAATCATCATGAAGCATCCGAATAGATGTCACTTTGGTTGTTATTTGCATGATCATAAAGATCAGCATGAGAAACTTGTAGCCCCCCGAGGTCATTTAGACACTCGTTATCATCACTATAGAGATAAACTCTAAAGCAATGTCCTGAAAATGTTGGTGATCTTATGTTGCAACAGCAGGACTTCCTTCCAATCATTGGTCTACATCTGTAATAGATGAGCCCTATGGAAGTTTTCGCAGGTCATGTAGACCTGCAACTGACTCAAAAGTGTGTCTGTGTCCTGGAAAATTTTAAAACATTTGGGAGTGAGTAACTAGACACGGCGTGATCAATGAAAGTTCAGTGGCATGGGGCTGAGGCCACTGTAGTCAGTATCACTTGCCTCGGAAGGAGACAGTAATGAGAGATGTGGTTCCTTGTGAAATATGATTAAACACATGTCTGTTGGGAGACAAGTGAGTGGTCTTGGAGAGGGTTAAACATGCACATTTAGACAAAATCCGGCGACTTGTACCCGGGATCTGATTAAATCAGTCCTGAACCTATTTGGGAATTGTCCAGAGTATTTGAGTGGCTAGGAGTAATCTTCAATTCATAACAGGCAGTTGAGGTAGCAGACTCATCATTGATTATTGTTTTTCTTGCGTACTCGAGCCTTCTCCTTCCTAACGCTCATAATGTTCACTCACCCACTCACTCAATTACTCTCGGATTTGTCCCTTGGGTAGGCTTAGTTGGGTTTACTAATCCGTAGGGACATGTTCTCTCATTAATTTTCTCTTTGTACTCCCCCTCAACTAGAGAACTCGGTATGCTTTGTCATTGTTAGGCACCGGGGAGGATAACATTGAACACTCCCCCTAAAACGTTGCATCATTTGAGAGATTCCTTGCTTTGTCGGTGTAAGGCGCCAGGAGGAGAAAACTGAAACTCCCCTCAGAATGTGCAAAAATTGATTGCTCACAGCTCGTCATACCCGCCATGTGTGTGGAGCAATCTGAACAGGCACCACACATGACGGTTTTCCCTTAGCTCATCATTTGGAATTTCAACACGTTTGAGGATCACACGATGTTGATGAGTTAGGGGAGGCTTTAATAGTTGATTGTTGATTGTTGTACGATGATCGTTGACGCGGGGTTGATTGAATTATCTACGATTTTAGGACCTCTACATTGGAGTTTAGAAAAACTTTGACCTTAGGTTTGACTTTGGAAGAATTTGAACAGATTTGCCTAAGTTTTGACCTTGACATCGGTGATTTACAAAGTTTGTCGGAAAACGAATGATTTGGTCCTCAAGGACTGCGCGTGAGGGCGCGTGAAAAAAGGTTCTAGGGTAAACCCTAAGAATAAACGTAGATCTTTTCGTTAGCTTTCCAACAAAGTAAAATTCTCTTAAATCGGATCACCGAGTCAAAAGTTATGGCCAAAACAATGCGATGCCGCTGAAAATCTCAATATTTTGAATTTTTGAGGAATTTCTTCGAAGTTGAGGTTCTCGATGTTGAATATCGAGAACAGGTTGGATTAAGGAAAATTTTAAGGCAATACCTCGAAATCCTAATCTCGAATTTCAACTTCGAGATTACAATCTCGAGGTTTAAACTTCGAGATTACAATCTCGAGGTTTAAACTTCGAGATTACAATCTTGAGGTTTAAATCTCGAGATTACAATCTCGAGGTTTAAACTTCGAGATTACAATCTCGAGGTTTTAACTTCGAGATTACAATCTCGAGGTTTAAACTTCGAGATTACAATCTCGAGGTTTTAACTTCGAGATTACAACCTCGAGGTTTTAACTTCGAGATTACAATCTCGAGATTTTAACTTCGAGATTACAATCTCGAGGTTTAAACTTCGAGATCTTAATCTCGAGTTTGCCTCGAAGAATAATGACGAAATCCACCCGCAAAACAAAACCTCCAGACTTCGAATTCTTCAGAATTTCAAAATGTTTGGAACATCGAAAACTTTGGAGTTTCAAAAACCTCACAATATCGAAAACTTGTTGTTTGAAAACATCAAAACATCGAAAACTTCTTTAAAACAATGAAGAG